CCAAGGCAATTACGTTGGGTCAGTTGTACGGTCAATTCGATCCTGTGTCTTACGAATGGACTGATGGTGTTTTGGCAATTAGTTATCGTGCTTTCGCAACATCGACCACTCCAAATCGCAAATGGTTGATATTTGACGGTCCAATAGACGCGGTATGGATAGAAAGTATGAATACCGTATTGGATGACAACAAAAAGCTTTGTCTAATGAGCGGAGAAATTATCCAATTAGCACCATACACCAATTTAGTGTTCGAGACGATGGATTTAGAACATGCCTCACCGGCAACAGTTTCTCGTTGCGGTGTGTTTTTCATTATTATTATTATTTTAATTATTATCCCCTGTTATTCTCTATTCCAATGAATATTATAAGAATATTTAATGTTTGAATTTTTCCTTGTTCGAATTTAGGCATGATCTATATGGAACCAAATGATCTTGGCTGGGATCCTTTGCTTAAATCTTGGATAAATACTCTTCCTGCTGTTATAAGTGCATGGTTAAGAAACTTTATATACGAGTCATTATTTCGAAGATTTTGCGATCCCATATTTTATTGGTTACATCAGGGTATTGCCGAAGTTCGTATTTTTAAAACTTTCCATTTTTTTTTTTTTTCAGTTTATTTATTGCACGTGTAAGTGAAACTCGCAAGATTGATCAAGTATAATTTTACAATTTTATAGATAATGTGTCCTATGCAGGATACAAATCTTGTACGTTCATTGACCTATCTGATGGATTGTTTTATCGAAGAATATTACGATGAAAAAATTGCCAAGAATATCGATGAATTGGATCTTCGAGCGCAAATCGAGGTTAGATTGTTATGCATATATGTATATTTTAACCTTCAAATAGAAGAATATAATAATAAATAAGATTATAATAAGGAATATAAAATATAATTCTTTTATTTATTCTAATGTAAATCAAAATACAAATTTATGAACATTTTTCAGGGTTCATTTTTCTTTTCGTGTATATGGGGTTTGGGAGGTAACTTGCACACAAAATCAAGAGAAAGCTTTAGCAATCTCTTCCGTGGTTTTCTCGAAAAAACTTTTCCTCCTGATTTGATAGAAAGTTATAAGTTGAAAGTCCCGATAGATCCACCTTTAAAGCCATATATATTTCTTATGCCACGACATGGTCTGATCTTTGATTATAGATTTATCAAAGAGGTAAGTTATGTTTAATCAATATATACGATATCGAAATAATTAAAACAATTTTTTTTTTATCTTCACGTAACGATATGATTAGGGCAAAGGAAAATGGAAACTATGGTCCGACGATTTGATCGACACTCCACCAATCCCTCGAGACATACCTGTGAACCAAATAATAGTGCCTACTGTCGAGACGATACGATATATAACTTTGTTTCGTCTATTAGTAGGGAATAAAAAACCTGTGTTGCTCGTGGGTCCAACCGGAACAGGAAAATCAGTTTATGTAATCGATTTTCTATTGAAGAAAAATAATCCTCAGGACAATAAACCGTTGATCATAAATTTTTCCGCGCAAACTACGGCGAATCAGACTCAAGACACAATTATGGGAAAATTAGATAGACGACGAAAAGGTGTTTACGGGGCACCGATAGGCAAAAAATGGATCATTTTTGTTGATGATCTTTCAATGCCATTGAAAGAAATTTATGGAGCGCAACCTCCAATCGAGTTGTTACGACAATGGCTAGATCACGGAGAATGGTGAAAAAATTTCTTTAGATTCTATTTGTTAATTGATATATATATACACATAATATAATGTAATACAATTTCGAATTGTTGCAGGTTCGATAGAAAAGAAAGGACTATGATAAAACTGATCGATGTACAGTTAATGTGTGCCATGGATCGACCGTATCGTGGTGGAAAAGATGTTACACCTCGATTTAAAAGGCACATGGTCGTTTTAGGAATATCAGAGTTTGAAGACGAAGTAATGTTTACGATATTTAGTAAAATCTTTCTTTGGCATCTTGAAACAAGGTAAGTTATAAATTTTCTTTTTTTTCTCTATTATTATATAAATCTTTGTTTCTTTTCTTTCATAAACAAAGTTAACTTTTTTTTTTTTTAGAGGATTCAGCAAGGATTTTGATCCATGTATGGAAGAAGTTGTTTTGGGTACGTTAGATATGTATAAGGAAAGTCTGGCTAATCTTTTACCAACTCCAGCCAAATGTCATTATGTCTTCAATCTTCGTGATTTCTCCAAAGTGATACAGGTTCCTTTAATTTTAAAACTGTTTTTCTGCTGTCACAATAGTATTTTTGTATAATTTTTGTTTTTATTATTTTTTTTATTTTGATCTATTTCATATATACTAATAATAATTAATTTGAATATTGTAGGGCGTGCTATTGTCAGTCCCAGAAACTACACCAACTATATTCTGCATGAGGAGACTTTGGGTTCATGAGATACTTCGAGTGTTTGGAGATCGTTTAATAGATCAATTCGATATTTCTTGGCTTGTGAGGCAAATACGCGTTACTCTAACAAACCGAATGTTCATGGATATGGATGACTTGTTTGAAGATCTTATTACTTCACGCGACAAAGTAAGTCTTTTTAATCTTTTTTAATATCATTATACAACATTGTTTATTGCATATTTCTTTTTTTAAATCAAGCCTGAATTAATCACCGACTTAGAACTTCGGAATTTAATATGTTGCGACTTCGCGGACACGAAAGCGGAGATACGACTTTATCAAGAAGTTAAGAATCTTGAAGAGTTACGAGAAGTAGTAGAAAATTATTTGTCTGAATATAATACGGTGTCGAGAAAGCCGATGAATTTAGTCTTATTTCGGTAAGTGTATCGTACTTGTGATTTGGACGAATATATTTGAGGATAAAACTTTTGAAAATTGTTCTCGTCATCCATTTATCCATAAGTTTGACAATTTTAATCATTCTAAACATTCAATTAAATGTAAAAATACTTTCGAGAACAATTCGAAAAGAATTTTCTTTTCAAATGGACACACGTACGTATCCATACGTACGTATAATTTAAAAGGTTGGTAAAGGTTAAAAATTAAATTTAAATCTTAATTAAAAATCTTTTCGAATACGCTGACTTCTAGATATGCCATCGAACATTTGTCACGAATTTGTCGTATTATCAAACAACCACGAAGTCACGGACTTCTTGTCGGAGTTGGAGGTACAGGAAGACAATCGTTAACTAGGTTAGCTTCACATATATGCGATTATGAGGTTTTCCAAGTTGAAGTCACTCAACAATACGGAATGGCCGCATGGCACGAGGATGTAAAAGCAATTTTAAGACGCGCCACTGCCACTGATCTTCACTCTACCTTTCTCTTTTCCGACACCCAAATTAAAGAGGAAAGTTTCCTCGAAGATATGAGTAATTTGCTTAATTCTGGAGAGGTAAATTAAATGATCATCAGATGGTAAATAGATTTTATAGAATTGAAGAAAAATTTTGACAATGCAAATTCTAACATTAAAACGAAAAAAATAATTATAATTATTATAATAATAATAATATAACAATGAAATTTATTGATAAAAAAAAATTGAACAATATTTTGATTCTTATGCTTTGAATTTAATATTCTAATTACGTTTAGATACCAAATATATTTAACATCGATGAACTAGCAGAAATATACGAACAAATGAAGCAAATAGATAGACAGCGGGATCGAGCACTACAAACGGATGGAAGCGCGGTGGCTCTGTTCAATCTTTTTGTTCAGATAACACGTGATCAACTTCACATCGTAATAGTAATGTCTCCTATAGGAACTAATTTCCGCAATAGGATCAGAAAATTTCCGGCACTAGTGAATTGTTGTACCATTGATTGGCTTCAGGTATTTTTTCATACAATAATAATAATAATAATGAGAATAACGATGATGATAATGGTAGTGGTAATTATAATAACAGCCATGGCCGCCAGATGCACTGCTAGCAGTTGCAACTAGATTTTTATCAGCGATAGAACTTACGGATAATGAAAGAAACGCCGGTATCGACATGTGCCAATATTTTCATGTTTCCACCGAAAATTTGAGCACAGAATTCTTAAATCGGTTAGACAGAAATGTTTATGTCACTCCAACTTCGTATCTTGAAATGATAAATACATTTAAAGATTTGTTAACCAAAAAACGAGAGTAAGTAATATTATTGAATAAATAATCGGTTCGAATTGTTTTTTTTTTTTAAATTTTGCAATACAACAGGGAAATAATAAACGCGAAAAATCGATACGAACGTGGTTTAGAACAATTAGACGATACGCAAAAACAAGTCGTAATGATGCAAGATATGCTTAAGTTATTACAACCGCAATTAATAACCGCCACTCAAGACGTTGAAAGGATGTTGCTCGAGGTTGAAAAAGAAAGTCACGATGTTGAAGAATTTGAGAAAATTGTAAAAATTGACGAAGCTGCAGCCGCGGTCAGTAAATACATTCTATATTTAACTGTGACAATGATATATTTCATAAAATTGTAATTTTTGAATTATTGTTATAGAGTTATTGTTTCGCTTGTATTTTTTATTGGTAAAGTATTGATAACTGTATTTTACTTGTAGCAAATAATTATCATAATATATAGTATAATATAGTAAAAATTAAAATCTATTTAAAAAAACATTTATACTTGATAAAGTATAGATCAATAGATAACATTGCTTAAATCTATGTTTTTAGGTTTACGCAAATGAAGCGGCCGCAATTAAAGCTGAATGTGATGCCGATTTGGCTCAAGCATTGCCGATTCTAAGACGTGCACAAAGTGCTTTGGATACTTTGACAACAGCCGATATTGCTATAGTAAGAGCAATGAAGAAACCACCGGGAGGAGTGAGATTAATCCTCGAAAGTGTCTGTGTCCTCAAGGTTGATAACTTATTGTGTTCACTAACGTTGCGTACAGATCGATCATTCCCTTTTTTCCCCCTTTTCTTTATTTCCTCACATTGCATAGCAAATCAAACCAGAACGAGTTCAACAACCTGACGGTACATATATCGACGATTATTGGAGATCGTCTCTGAGAATGTTGAGCGATGCAAGATTTCTCGATTCGTTGCTCAATTTTGACAAGGATAATATCCCCGATCACGTGATTGAAAGAATCCGGAAACAATATTTGACCAATCCGGATTTCGATCCTGAAAAAATAAAGAAAGTATCTACGGCATGCGAGGGATTGTGTCGATGGGTGTTTGCAATGTCGGAATACGATATAGTGACGAAAATGGTTGCTCCCAAGAGGAAAGCTCTGGCACAGGCGCAGAGCGTTTACGACAAAGCTATGGAAACTTTGGAAGCGAAACAAAAACAACTTCGACAAGTACAGGTATGCAAATTCTCACAAATGTGTGATAGTTTTCAATTATGAAATATTTTATATATAATTTTATATATTTTATATATAAAACGAAACATTTTGTATAGGAAAAATTAAAAATATTGGAAAATCTTTTGGAAGAAAGGAGAATAGCTTTTCAAGAAATGTCCGAAAAAGTAGCGGATTGCGAAACAAAATTAAAACGTGCGGAAGATTTAATTGGAGGATTAGGCGGAGAATACACGCGTTGGTATGAAACTGCAATAGCTTTGGGAGAAAGGTAAAATTCGTGTACAATACATGCATACATATATATTTCGAGCTAAATGAGTTATTACAAGTTTATTATCTCATAGATATCATCGATTAATGGGTGATATTATAATTGCTTCTGGTGTGATTGCATATTTGGGCCCTTTCACAATGCCTTTTCGAATTCAACAAATTGTTCTATGGGTAGAACGATGTACCAATTTACAAGTGATTTGCACTTCAGATTTTCAGCTACGTGATATACTTGGAGATCCAGCTTTAATTAGATCTTGGAATATTTTTGGACTTCCAAACGATGCATTTTCCATCGATAATGGCATTATTATTAAGTAAAATATACTTGCGTTTTTTCGTTTTCCAAATCTTCTTATACAGATCAGAAAATATATATTCTCCTATTTTTTTTTATCTCTTCAATAATTTTTTTTATATTTATGTAATTAAATACTACTGAAAAATTTGCGTTTGATATTTAGAAATTCAAGAAGATGGCCATTGATAATAGATCCTCAAGGTCAAGCCAATAGATGGATAAAAAATATGGAAAAAGAGAATAATTTGAATATCATTCGATTAACTCAAGCTGATTATGGACGAGCGTTGGAAAATGCATTGCAATTTGGACAGCCAGTACTGTTAGAGCATATTGGCGAAGAATTGGATGCTATACTTGAACCGATTTTACTTAAGGAAACGTTTAAACAAGCTGGTGCGATCTGTATAAAATTTGGTGATGCGATTATTGAATACAATGATAACTTTAGGTATTTTTGTATAATAATTTTGATACAATAGTATTAAAGTATATGATTATTTATATAACAATAGATTATTTATTATAACAATAATAATCATTATTATTAATTTGTTTTATTTTTAGATTCTATATCACTACGAGATTAAGAAATCCACATTATCTACCAGAAATAGCAGTTAAAGTAACGCTATTGAATTTCATGATAACACCAACAGGATTAGAAGATCAATTATTGGGTATTGTTGTAGCAAAGGAAAGACCAGATTTGGAATCGGAAAAAAATATTTTGATTGTGCAAGGAGCCGCGAACAAGAAGTACGTTAACTTTAATATTTTAAATATACATTTAAAATACTATTTAAGGCTTCTGTTTCTATATATTCTTTATCAATTCTTATTCTTTCTTTTTTTTTATTATTGTTGCAAATTAGATTATTAAAAGAAACAGAAGACAAAATTTTGGAAGTATTATCAGCAGCTGAAGGTAATATATTAGAGGATGAAGAAGCGATAAATATTTTAACATCGTCTAAAAATTTAAGCGACGAAATTCAAATAAAACAAACGGTAGCTGAACAGACAGAAAAGTCAATCGACAAAGCCAGATTGGAATATACACCTATCGCAATATATTCAACCGTATTATTTTTTACCACTGGTAATAAGTTTGATATTATATTATTTTTTTCTTTTGATCATACAAATCTGTATATTTATCATTTTCATTATTTGATTAATTGATAAAAAAAAAACAAAAAAAAAAATAAATTGTTAAAAAAAATTAAATTTTGTTTCAGCTATGTTAATAAGTATCGATCCAATGTATCAATATTCATTATCATGGTTCGTAAATTTATTCGAATTGGCTATTGATCATACAGAACCAGCGGATAGTGTTGAAACTCGACTAAGAGATCTTACAAAATATTTCACATATTCTCTTTACGCAAATGTTTGTAGATCTTTATTCGAGAAAGATAAGCTATTGTTTTCTTTCTTATTGACGATCAATTTGCTAGAACAACGAGGACAAATTTCTCGAGCACATTGGGGATTTTTACTATCGGGTGGACTCGCTATCGAAAACCCACATATAAATCCAACAACATGGCTACCGACTAAACAATGGAATGAATTATGCAATCTTGATGATGTCGAAAATTTTGTGGTTAGTCTGTGAATGATATTCAACTTAAAAAAAAAATATTATTTACAAAAATTTAATTTTCAATTATTAATTCTTTAGGGTATTCGAGTAACATTTACCAAATATACTAAAGAGTGGAAAGAATTATTCGATTCTAGAGAACCGCAAAATGCAGATATCCCTTACCCATTTCACGATGTGAATCTATTTAAAAGATTGTTGATATTAAGATGCATTCGTCCTGATAAGATCATTCCCGCAGTGCAAAATTTTGTAGCAGGTATTGATATTTAATTTAATTATCTCTTGTATACTTGAAATTAATATGTTATATTTACATGTTATAACATTAATTTTCAGATGAACTTGGCGAACAATTTATTATACCGCCACCATTCGATTTGGCCTCATCTTATGCTGATTCGAACAGCTGCATTCCATTGATATTCATATTAACACCTGGTACAGATCCAGCGCAATTATTACTCTCGTTTGCAAATGAACAAGGTTTCGGCGTGAGTCGTCTTTTTTACATTTCTCTTGGTCAAGGTAATTGCCAAATTTCCAATGAAATTTTTTAATCAACAATTAAATATTTTTGAGAAAGTTTGAAAAAAAGGATATATAGGTGAAAAAAATAAAAAAAAATAAGGGATATATAGGGATATATAGGGATATATATGAACAAATAAAAGAAAAAAAAGAAGAAAAGGAAGGAATAATTAAAAATAAATTTAATGAATATTCGATAGGACAAGGACCAATTGCCGAAGAAATGATTCAATCAGCTGTTATTGTTGGTAATTGGATCGTTTTGCAAAACTGTCATTTGGCAATTAGTTGGATGGCAACTTTGGAAAAAATTTGTGAAGGCTTTATGCCAGATACGATCCATCCAGAATTTCGTTTGTGGTTGACGAGTTATCCGTCGGAACATTTCCCCTCCTTGGTTTTGGAAAGCAGTATAAAAATGACTAACGAACCACCTAAAGGTCTAAGGGCTAATATTATTAGATCGTACTTGAGTGATCCAATCAGCGATCCAGACTTTTTCGAATCTTGCATACAAACCGAATATTTCAAAAAACTTCTTTACTCCTTGTGTTTCTTCCATGCTGTGATTCAAGAGAGAAGAAATTTTGGTCCAATTGGTTGGAATATTACGTACGAATTCAATGAGACCGATCTTCGAATTAGCGTTTTACAATTACATCTTTTTCTCGATGAATTCCCGGATGTGAGATTCGATGCACTCAAGTATTTGACCGGAGAATGTAACTATGGTGGAAGAGTAACAGATAGTTGGGACCGCAGAACTTTAATTACTATTTTGACGAAATTTTATTGCGAGTAATTTCATATTTTTATATTTTTATTTACATTCGAATAAATAAAATAAAATAATTTTCTATATAACATGATTTTATTGACTTTCTAGGAAGCTGCTTACTGATAAACGTTATTATTTCGATGATACTTCAACGATTTATTATTGTCCACTTGTAAGAGAATATGAAGCTTTTTTGGAATACACAAAGAATTTACCCTTAATCACCCCACCAAGTGTCTTTGGTATGAACGAAAATGCGGATATTATTAAAGAGCAACAAGAAACAGATCTTTTATTTTCGTCACTTCTATTAACTCAGGTAATTTATTAATTCATTTTGATATGTCCTTATTTTATATCTTTTTATACTTACACAGAATTCATTAATCACATTAAAAATGTTTATGCAAAGTAGTAAAATTTTTATGAATATAATTAAAAAAATAAAATTTAAATAGAGATTTTCCTTCTTTTTCAAATGCACATTTGAATATTTTTAATTTCTTTTTATATTTTTTTTTTTTTTGTATATCATGTGCATTATGTAGATTTCTGTATATTTAAATTTTGCATAAATGTAAAGTTTATTCATTAGTTATATTGATAATTTAATATTATAATTTGTATATGGCAATCTTATTCAGGATCGTTTGGTATGTATTATTATTATACAATAAGTACAAATAAATTACGCAAAAATTATACTTATATTTAAGATTTTTATAATTTTCTATTATTTTTATAAATATTTATTTTTTATAAATAAATATAAATTATTTTTATATATTTTTATAAATTTTTATAATAAAGTATTTATAAATATTAATTATTTTATAAATATTTTATTTCCTTGTATCTTTGCTACATTAGGATCTCTGGCAATTAGAACAGGTTAGTAAATTCATACCAGATACATATTACAAAAAATTTATGATAATATTTCTGGATATAAAAATATTTGAATCATAATGAAAGTAAAATTCAATTGAATTTTATACTACTTTTTATCTCTTTAGGAAAGAATTAAAACTGGAACAGGAGAAGACATTAATAATGAAATAGTACTTAGAATGGCGAATGATATTTTAAAAAAATTACCGGAAGATTTTAATCTTGCAGCAGCTCTCAGAAGATATCCAATGTCTTATAGACAAAGTATGAATACTGTATTAGTACAAGAAATGGGAAGATTTAATAAACTTCTTGGCTATATGAGAATGAGCTTAGAAAATATCATAAAAGCAATAAAAGGTTTCTGTGATTTTGTCAAAATTTCCATGTATATTATATTTTTAGCCAAAATATTTCATATTCTCATTTATTTATATGTATATATAGGTCTTGTCATCATGTCATTTGAATTAGAAGATGTTTATGACGCAATTTTAACTAACAAAATACCTTGTTTGTGGAAACAATATTCATATCCATCCTTAAAACCACTTGGTAGTTACGTACTTGATTTATTAAATCGCATAATTTTTCTTGAAGTAAGATATTATGTTTTCTAAATTTATTATTATAATTAGTGATTAATTATCTAAATTAGAATCCATTCTATCGATTTCAATTATTAAAATGTATTAGAAGAATATTAGAAACAATAATTCTTTTAAGTATATATATATATATATTTACATAAAGTGTCGCTCGAACATTTTGAATATCTTACTTATTATTGATAAAAGAATTATCTTATTAAGAAATATATCTTATTAAGAAAAAAATATCAGAAAAAATATTATTTTATTCAAAAATATAAAATCTGCAATTCGAAATATTTGAATGCTTATTTCAACAAGAGAAAAAATAATAAGTGTAAATCATGAGATATTAAAATACCAAAACAAACAATATATACGTACATGCAATCATCATATTAATAAATGCATGTTAAATATATGTTCATGTTTTTGCATTTTATTTAATTATTCTTATTTTTTCAGAATTAATTGTATTTATACATGATGTATTATTACATTCATTTCTCTGTAATATTTAACAATTAATATTAAAATATTTATAAATGTTGTTCATGATTTAGCAGCATTTATTACTCGCGAGATTTATAAAGCTTATTCGGAGAAATTCTTCATAGAAATTCCTTTCTATTATTATCGCTCGCAGACTTCTATTAAGTCTAAATAAAAGTTGACGTTATCTGAGAAGACTGTCGTTTTTGAGAATTTAATCGACACTTATAATTCTTTTTGACACATTTCAGCCTGTCTCAAGCGGAACCCGATCCCAAGGGTGACATACTTTAGATATGGCTGACCCAACGGCAACATCATTCTAGTTCGAGTCTAATCCTTTTTAACTTAGGGGTATTGCGAGTCAGGCACTAACCGATGTTATTGGTTATTATTGTGTTCCACCGAGAAACTGAAATCCTCCCAATTGAACTAGAAAGAGGTTTTCTAAGGGCACGAGTTTCATCGGTGAAGATTTTTATGGTGAACATATCGCTAGCTGACCGCTGGATACGACAATAGTTTCTTTGTAATTACGCATAATGCTCTGACCATCGGACACGATTATCTGCTATGAGAAACTCTGCTTTCTTATAGACACGCGTACTGCACATGTAATTGCTTATACACTTCACTTATCTTTAAAAAATATAATTAACAGTCAGCACTAGCTTTTTTCATACGCACACATCTCAGTCGAAAAAGCATTTAATACATGTATATATGCACTTAAATGCACTATAATATTGCGAATGCGAACAAATGTTATATTTATAATATGTTATAAAGTAAAAATGAGATATATGCACGCAAAAATTTATTTATATTCGCATACATTTATATTTTTACATCGATAACTTTTTATCAATGTATATACGTATAATTTTCATGAATATTGAAATTTCATTTACATATCTTATTATTTGTCTCTTCTTATTCAAAATAATATGTATTAAAAAATGTATTTAGAAAATTTAAAAAGTTAAATAATAATCATTCATGAAATTAGAATATTAAATTTGAGAAATTGAATGAAATTGTAATCAATGGAATAGATTCTAATATAATTAATTACAAATTATTACAAAAAATTTGAATTATTTTAATAATTTTTAATAGTTTTAATTATCAATTTTAAAAATATAAATTATATACATATATATAAAATTTATTGTAGGAATGGTATGAAAAAGGACCACCGGTTGTTTTTTGGATGTCAGGATTCTTTTTTACTCAAGCATTTCTAACAGGAAGTAGACAAAATTATGCTAGAAAATATCAAATTCCTATAGATCTTTTGGTTTTTGATTATTATGTATTAAAATATGAAAAAGCACCCACAGTTCCTCCTGATGATGGAGTATACATATACGGATTATTTTTAGATGGCGCTAGATTTAATAAAGAAGAAATGATTTTAGATGAAAGTTTTCCAAAAGTACTTTATGAACCTATGCTTCCTGTACGTATTTATATAATATATAAATATTTTATAATATATATATATATATATATTTTTAATATATCTTATATTCTTCATTTGTTCATTTTTTATTATTTTTATTATTATTTCACGTTTTATAATTTATTGTCGTTCTAGATGTGGTTTATACCTATAAAAAAAGAAGATATAAAAGAAAGAGCAATATATTCGTGTCCTGTATATAAAACTTCTGAAAGACGAGGAGTTTTATCCACTACCGGACATTCAACAAATTTTGTTATCGCTGTATCTTTACCTACATTAAAATCATCAGAACATTGGATTTTGAGAGGAGTCGCGCTACTTTG